CCGACATCTGGTGAAAATTTCATGTCATTAGCACCTCTAGTTATATATTTACTGAGAAAAATGTTGACGTGTTCAACACTTATTTTACCCGCTGTATATATACTGAAACAAGAAATGTACCTTGAGTTTCCAGGGGACTTTGCGGAAGCCAGGCAAAGTGAACATGCTCCACACGCCGTACAGACCTACGAGAAGAGCTCCAGTGCAGGCCGACACCACAGGATGGGGTCTGTTGGTGGGAAAAACCTCACTGTGGTCCTGGAGAATCAACTCGATCGAGTCCTCCATTACACAGCGTGTCTGCGAATGACTGGATTAAGATGAAAAACACAAAATATTCTGCTTTTACTCGGAGTAGAGTGGGTTCACATAAATTCAAGTTTTGTTTAAGAAGAAACCAATCAAAAGTTCAGTAAGAGTATTTTTAGAATCCGATTGAAGAAAACAAACTCAAAACTTTTCATGTGATAAAACCAAAAAAAAAAAAAAAAAGAATCCAAAAATGAATCTGATTTTTTTTCCATACTCCTTATACCAAGAACTCTAATCACATCTGTTCATCATATTGGTGCTGGCCAAATGACTGGAAAAGTAATTTATTAAATCACTTCTAAAGAGATGTATAAATTAAGTTGTACAGCTGTTATTCTAACTTTGTAGTCTTTTCCCACTATATTAAACATGTCATAAGTACAGCTTAATTAGTATAAATAGTGATTTATTTATTTATTTATTTATTTATTTATTGTTTTTGGATAAAGGTTTAATTATATATTTAAGCAAAGTAGTTATAATCTTACTAATAAGACAAATTACATTTTTATTTGGTCTGGATTCAACTTTTTTAATTAAATGACTAAATTTCATCTGTTTGACTTAGTGAGTGCGCTGAGATTTGTATTTTTAAACTAAAACCTGAATGTGGATCTGGTTAATAAACTTTTAGGAGCTGTAGAAGTTCTTATGACAAATGATCAGAGTTGTAAAGTAACTAAGTACAAATACTTCTTTACTGCACTTTAGATTTTTTGTGTATCTGTACTTTACTTGAGTAATTATGTATATTTCACACTACTTTTTACTTCTACTTCTTACATTTTCACACAGTTATCTGTACTTTATACTCCTTACATTTTTAAAAAAGGCAAAAAGTTGAAAGTTGTTACCTTTATTTCATTTTTACTTGTTTTCAGCTTGTTATTGTAAAAAATAAATATTATCCATGTAAACTGTGCCTCCTAGACAGAGTGAATTTAATTGTGGGTTAATGAGAAATATAAATATATAAAACTCTGACACCGTATTAGTTTGTACACAAACAAATCATGTCACACTCCAGCAGGACATAATTATTAAAATAAAAGGACTGTACTTAAGAAATATTTGTATTTCACTAATTATCTTACTGCATTTGGCCCCAGCCCTCAGTTAGAGTTTCATTTTGGGGAAAAGCTTTGGGAAGCCTTGATATATGTATATAAACTGAAACAGCTGGACTAGTGCATCTTAAATTTAACATGAATTAATTATTTTAATATAATATAGTCATTTCTGCATTTTTTGGGAGGTCACATCCTAATAAATGTCATTACAGAAAATCTAACTGCTCATTTTAAATCAATACTTTTACTTTTAATACTTAACTACAAAAAATATCAGGTACTTTAATACTTTTACTCAAGTAATATTCTTAAAGGAGACTTTAACTTTTATCAAAGTAATTTTTTGGTAAGATACTTGTACTTTTACTCAAGTATCACTTTGTGGTACTTTATACAACACTGCAAATTATTTTGTAAAGCTATTTCTCTGATGCCAGACTATATTTAGTTTGAGAACGAGGGTCAAAACAAGCCCATTAGGCCCCATGTACTGGGTTTAAACAGCAGATGGAGCTGCAGTGACCTTTTTTCCTACAGAAACCTTCTAGAAAAGTTGTAGTTTCACACGCTTCAGCTCGTGTTTCATATCTGCATATT